CGGCAGCCCTGTAAATGTAAATGAAGGCGCGATCATTTAAATCGCGGCTTCATTTCCCTTTTCCAAAACAACAAATCTACATGGCTCCGTCGACGGAGCCATGTAGTCTAGACGTACCCTCCAATGAGTGGTGCTGAGCATCCCCTAACAACTTGGATTAGTGGGGGATATCCAAGGACTTCACTCCCAAACCCAGGGCAGCAGCTGGCAAGTTTGATAAGAGTAGGGCTGATGATTAGGTTCGCCGACTTTCTAATGCTTCAAAACTGGGCACTGCAGCCCCTGTCTCCTGCCCCCCATCTCCTGCCCCTGTCACTTGCTCCCCACTCTCCAGGGCTCACCTGCAGACTGCAGAGTCAGGCTGGGAACTGGAACACAGCCTGCCTCACTGCCTAATCAGGACTAGGGATGAAAGTGATAGCCGACTAGCCAAGTTGACTAGATACTCAACTAGTCGCTTCCCCCTCCTTGCTGCCTCTATGAGGCCAGGGAAGGGAGAGGGGTAATGGGGATGTGGCACAAGCTGGGAATCAGCTGATCCCTGTCCCAGACACTTCACCTCTGCTTTTTCACCTTTGCTCACCTACTGGCTTTTCATACATTTAAAAGGCTGATGCACAGCAAAGGAGGGAAGTTGACTAGATACTCAACTAGTCGCTTCCCCCTCCTTGCTGCCTCTATGAGGCCAGGGAAGGGAGAGGGGTAATGGGGATGTGGCACAAGCTGGGAATCAGCTGATCCCTGTCCCAGACACTTCACCTCTGCTTTTTCACCTTTGCTCACCTACTGGCTTTTCATACATTTAAAAGGCTGATGCACAGCAAAGGAGGGACCCGGTGCAAGCTGGCAATCAGCTTTCCTGGCTTATGCCAGTCCCGTTCCTCCCTTCTCCCCCACTGCCCTTCAGCCTTTTAAATATATTAAGAATCTGCCAGCTCTTCATATGTTTAAAAGGCTGAGCCACAGCAGGGTTAGTTCCTGGGGCTGGACACTGACCCCGCTGCGGCTCCCCCACTTATCAACTGGTCGACAGAAATATCATCAACTAGTTGATTAAACTAAATGTAATATCTCTAATCAGGACATGGTGGGGGTAGGGAGACGGCCCCCCTGGGGCGTTTAATCATGGTCAACCACAAAACTGATCATGGCTTGGAACTCTCACTTAGAAGTACTAACAAGTTTTTTCAGAGAGACTTTTCATAAAATCATAGAATCCTAGAACACTAGAACTGGAAAGGACCTCAAGAGGTCATTGAGTCCAGTCTTCTGCTGTCATGGCAGGACCAAGCACCATCTAGACCATCCCTGATAGGTGTCTACCTAACCTGCTCTTAAATATCTTCAGTGATGGAGACTCCACAACCTCCCTAGGTAACTTATTCCAGTGTTTAACCACCGTGACAGATAGGAAATTTTTCCTAATGTCCAACCTAAACCTCCATTGCTGCAGTTTAAGCCCATTGCTTCTTGTCCTATCCACCAGTTTTCTTTTGAGTTAGGAAATAGTTTGAGTAGGAGCCCCTTCCCTGAAAGGCCGATGGCACTGGCCCTATCGCTCCTTTTTGCAGGAGGTGTTGAACTTCCTGTGAGAGCAGGATTTCATGAGAAGGGTGCCTGAAGAGGGATGGGGAGAATAAATGAGTGGGGGGAATGGAGATGAATAGGATGGAGTAGCCCACTCTGATGACCTCTAATTCCTTTGGATCTGATGTTGTCTGTGCCCTTGATATAGGAATGGCACAAGGCAGTGGGCAAACTAAAGGGCTGTGTCTAGACTGCATTCCTTTTCAGTAAAAGGGATGCAAATTAGACATATCGCAATTGCAAATAAAGTGGGGATTAAAATCCCCCCCGCTTCATTAGCATAAAAATGGCTGCCGCTTTTTTCCAGCTCGGAGCTTTGCCGGAAAAAAGCACCAGTCTAGATGCGGATCTTTCGGAAAATAAAGCCTTTTCCGAAAGATCCCTTATCCCTTATTTTAAGAGGGATAAGGGATCTTTCGGCGCTAGCAATTTGCTGACACTTATCCCTTCTTCAGACCTAGTTTTGGGGGCCTCTTTGTTTTCTTAGTGCCTAGATGAAAAGGCTTTATTTTCCAAAAGATCCGTGTCTAGACTGGTGCTTTTTTCCGGCAAAGCTCCGAGCCAGAAAAAAGCAGCAGCCATTTTTATGCTAATGAAGCAGGGGAATTTAAATCCCTGCTTCATTTGCAATTGAGATACGTCTAATTTGCATTCCTTTTACGGAAAAGGGATGCGGTCTAGACACAGCCAAGGTGTATAATGATGGTATCACAACATTAGGGATTTCTCTCTGGCTTTTGACCAAACTTTCAAAATTGTTGTTTTGGAGGATGAAGGTTGGGTTGTTGAGGTTGGGTTGTTGTAGGCTGCTGTTGACACCAAGGTCTGTCTTTCTGCCTGAAGTCGTATTGGGGTGGAAATGTAATGGATTTTTATGTTATTTCACATGAAGACAGGGCGAGTCAAAGGAGCTCTATCTGCTGCCGAGGATGGCAGAGAAGGAACTGAGGGCCTGCGCCGTGCATGAGCCTAACAGACACCAATGGCATGAGGAGACATTGTGGCGCATGAGTGGCGTGGCAGGCCACTGCTAGAAAAGTCTCCAGTCTCCCCAGAGTGGAGCACCCATGGGGACATCACTTGAAAAAGAACCCTTTTCTCAACTAGGTTTGTTTATATGCAGCTGAAAGGAAAAGTTAACCAGCTTTGCACAGAACATCTATTGAAAGTTCCGCTTTTCTCTGGGCTTTTCCAAGTCAATTGTCATCAAATTGCACAGCAAGGAAAGATAATAGACAGTGAATGTTCCCTCTAATCCTGTCTATCCAGGTGCTGATTTTTTTTCCATTCACATGTGGAATAAAATTTTTATTTACACTGAGGCATATGCAAGAGTGCATCACCAGGAGAAACACAAAACCAGCAGTGGGCGCTCTGCTAGTCAGCTGGGTGTCATTGGGCTCTCTCCTGAGCAGCAGCACAAGTGCCAAGCTTACAGGGACCACTGGGCAGCTATTAGAGCTAGCACCCACTGGTTCATTCACAACTCCCAGAGATGTACTGCATTGTGGCCATGCACCCAGGTCGAATGAGGGTCTGGAGACATAAGGGGCTAAGGACAAAATGGGGAGGGTGAGACTGCCCTCTGCTCCATACATGAAGCAAGGGTTCTGAGAGACACATGATCCAGATGGCTGAAAGAGTGAGGAGCTGAGCCCTATTTTACATGCAGACTCCTCTCTCAGGCCAGGTGGTATCTGATGAAAGCCATTTGACTTTTGGTGTCCCTGTCAGGACTTCTCACCAGCCACTGCCTGGTCCCCTTTCTGACCAGAATTTAAGGGTGAAAACAAGACACTTGGCAGTCCTACCGCTGGTTAGTGCTAGGCACCAAAAGACAGGAGACCTCGGGGAGTCTCTCACTCCTTAGCCTTGTCTACACAAGCCCTTGAACCAGTGTAACTAACTTGATTTGAAAAAATACCTTAAGTTAAACTGGGGCAGTGCTCTGTGCAGAGCAGGCCATGTGCTGGTGCAGTAGGGATAGGGGCAGAGTCAGTTACCCCACAGCATCCCCTCTGGCTAGTTACAGAATAGCGCTGATTGCTGGGGGAGCCCTATTCGGCCCTCCCTGGCCAGAGGAATGGTGGGCATGGCAGAGGGCAAAGGGGATGAAAGAGGTGGATCCTCAGTGCTCTTCCAGGGTGTCCCTGTAGTGAGAATCCATCGCCATTCTGGCATGCGTGTCCATTCTCCCTCATGTGCAGGGAATATCATAAGCACTAAGCACTAAACGTGGAGTTTCCACTGCAAAAAACGCATTTCATCATCATCATTAACAACCATGGGCTCAACGCCCGTTGGTGACCGATGCCTCCCTCACTATTTCTTTCCATCTTTCCCTGTCCAGTGCGGTGTGGCTAGTTTCTGTAGACTAGCTCTGCACCAATCTGCTATGTCATCTACCCATTCTCTGTGGGGTCTGCCTCTTCTATTTGGACCATCCATTATGCCAAATACTAGGGTCTTAACTAACACATCATTCATTCTGCAGATATGCCTGAATAGCTGTAACTTCCATTGTATAACCTTCTGCAGTAGGTTCTCTTTCGGCTGTATCTTCCTATATAATTGCTCGTTGGTAATCTTCTGCATCCATCCTATTCTCAGGATCTTTCTATAACAACTCCTCTTGAACGCCAATATCCTTCTCTTCGAATCTTTCGTTTTCACCTATATTTCACATCCATACAACGTGCTTCTAAATACACGTTTTCAAGATGTTCGGCTTCATTCCTAAGCCAATGGCTTTACTTTTCCAGATCTTATCCATCACCTTCAAACTCACTCTTGCTTTCACTATTCTAATCACTATTTCCTTCTTACAGTCTAGATCATACGTCGTGTTGTTCCCCAAATACGTGAACTTCTCTATGTTGTCTAGTTTAATCCCATCTACACTGATCTTCCTTCCTATTTCCTTATCGCCAAATACCATTGTCTTTTGTAAGAATGGCGGGGGAGGGGAGGAATCACTAGGCAGAGACCTCTTGGATCCATCCCATTCATCACACAGAGAACACAGACAAGAGCAGGAGCTCTCACAGCAATTCACCTACCAAGTTGTGATAGAAACATCTCTCTAGATCTTTTCCTCTGGGAGGCCTTTCGCTTGCCTGGGGGACAGAGAATCAGACATTGCCATGAGACAGGGAAGGAAGGGGACACACTGAGCAATCCTCTAATACAGGTGAGACTGTTTTTGCTCATTTGATTTATAATGTACAATCCAAGGTAAATATCTGGATGATAAGATACTCCCATGCCTCAGCTCAGTGCCCTCTGGGGCCTCACTCTAAACATGCAAATGACACAGCCTCTTTACCTGTGTATTCACGATATGCACAAACTCCAGCAGCAACGAGAACCAGAGAGAACAATGCCCAGAATGCAGACAGCCAGGGAGACACCCGAGGGAAGACGTCACCTGGCAAACAGAGAGCGCAGGGTGTGAGGAGCACAGGACCCTCCTGGAGCTGGAAAGTGGGATTTGGCCTGACAGCTGAGTCCAGGCTCGCAGATGCCCAGAAATTCCCACAAATAAAGGGAACATACCCTCCAGCCATGGGTGGTGGGTAAAGCTGCTGCTTGCAGAAGCAAGCTCCCCAGCCTGTATCCTCTCCCGTGCTCTTCCCATGCTCCACCTGTACTCTGCCCACATCCCGCTCCCACTTCACTAAGGTCCTGCCCCCTCCTTACTGTCTCTTTTTTCTGTTCCTTCATCCACACTGCTCACCCCTTACAGCCAGATCCCTGAACCCAGATGCTAGATGGGGAAGACCAGATATACAGAAACTATATGTATAATGGACTCTTAAGCCATCATAAAGTAATCATTCCAGGTAACTACAGATTTAATTCACTGAAATTAAGACAATATTTTGAAATCTTCAGAGCAGTAGCCAAGTTAGTCTATAACAGGAAAAACTTAAAAAAAACAACAACAAATAGTCTGGTAGCACTTTATAGACTAAGAAAACACATAGGGTACGTCTAGACTATAGGCTTTTGTCGACAAAGCTTCTGTTGACAAAGAGCGTCTAGACTACATCCAGTTCTGTCAACAAAGCAAGACGCTTTGTCGACATGATAGTGTAGACACAAAGGACAGTGTAGATGCAATAACGCCTTCTGTCGACAGAACTGTCGACAAAAGGCGTTATTCCTCATAGAATGAGGTTTACAGCCATCAACAGAACTGCTGAGTTCTGTCGACGTTATGTCAACAGAACTCAGCGGCAGTGTAGACGCAGGTATAGTTTTGTCGACAAAAGTCCACTTTTGTTGACAAAACCCTGTAGTCTAGACACACCCGTAGGTGGTATCATGAGCTTTTCTGGGCACAGCCCACTTCTTCAGATGACTGAAGTATAATGAGTTCAGATCCAAGGATAAATAAGGGAAGAAGGGAGGCCCAGAAGAGGAAACAATAGAATTCCACTTGTTATCACATAAAATACACAACTTACACCCCTCCAATGCATTGTCAACAATCTACAACCTATCCTGGAATATGACCCCTCACTCTTAGAGGCCTTGGGGGAATGTCTTATTCTGACTTACAGACAACCCCCTAACCTCAAACAAATTATTTCTGGTAATCACACAACACACCTCCATCATAATCATCCTGGAACCCATCCCTGCAATCAGCCTCGCTGCCAACTCTGTACACACATCTATACCAGCAATTTAATCACTGGACCCAATGACATCAAAAAGGCTCATTTAACTGAACATCCACTAAAGTGATTTATGCCATCAAATGCCAGCAATGCCCCACTGCCTTGTATATTGGTCAAACTGGACAATCTCTACAGGAAAGAATTAATGGATACAGATATCATCATAGAATCATAGAATCATAGAACTGGAAGAGACCTCAGAAGGTCATCAAGTCCAGCCCCCTGCTCTAGGCAGGACCACTTCCAACTAAATCAACCCGGCCAGGACTTTGTCAAGCCGAGACTTAAACACCTCTAGGGATGGAGACTCCACTACTTCCCTAGGTAACCCATTCCAGTGCTTCACCACCCTCCTAGTGAAATAGTTTTTCCTAATATCCAACCTGGACCTCTCCCACCACAACTTGAGACCATTGCTCCTTGTTCTGCCATCTGTCACTACTGAGAACAGCCTCTCTCCATCCTCTTTGGAACCTCCCTTCAGGAAGTTGAAGGCTGCTATCAAATCCCCCCTCACTCTTTGCTTCTGCAGACTAAACAGACCCAAGTCCCTCAGCCTTTCCTCGTAAGTCATATGCACCAGCCCCCTAATCATTTTGGTTGCCCTCCACTGGACCCTCTCCAATGCGTCCACATACTTTTTGTAGTGGGGGGCCCAGAACTGGACACAATACTCCAGATGTGTTCTCACCAAAGCCAAATAAAGGGGAATGATGACATTTCTGGATCTGCTGGCAATGCTCCTCTTAATGCAACCTAATATGCCATTAGCATATCCAAAAAAGCAACACACGGAAACCTGTTGGAGAACACTTTAATATTCCTGGACACTCATTAATGGATCTCCAAGTTGCTCTTTTGCTTCGGACAAAATTCCAGAAGCCAAATACACAGAGAAGGATTGGAACTTAACTTCATTTACAAGTTTAATTCTTATGCTAGTTTAAACAGGGATACTGGATGGCTCAAACACTATCTTCCACCTTTTAATAACTTAACCATCCAACAAAACAATAGAGGTGCTAATGGTTCTTAACAGCCTCTTGTAACTACTTGAACTATTTACTCAACATCTATGTGTTTTGTTAGTCTTTAAAGTGCTACCAGACTAACTGTTGTTTTTTTAAATGTTACATTATTTTGAATTATTCAGTCAGAGCGGTTTAGTATGTGCATAACAAAATTCATTGCTTTTAGGAAATGAAAACACTAATTTATTTTGTGTGGACTCCAACAATAGACATGTTTATGAAATTTCACGATGTTTATATTAAACACCTCACCAGAGCTGAATAAAGGAGAATAATCACTTCTCTAGATCTGCTGGCAATGCTTCTCCTAATGTACCCTAATATGCCATTAGTACTTCTTGGCTACAATGGCATCCTGTTGACTCATATCCAGTTTCACATCCACCCAGGTCCTTTTCTGCAGGATTGTTACTTAGCCAGTCGGTCCCCAGCCTGTAACTATGCTTGGGATTCTTCCGTCCCAAGTGCAGGACTCTGCACTTGTCCTTGTTGAATCTCATCAGATTTCTTTTGGCCCAATCCTCTAATCTGTCTAGGTCACTTAGTCTAGACCCAATCCCTGCCCTCCAGCGTATCTATCTCTCCCCTTAGCTTTGTCAGCAATAAACCTGTCTGAGCATGTTCATCGCCTAACCAACCCTGTAATCTTGCTTATGAATAACACCTAAGTCTGCTGAATTAACAAGCAGCTGTGAGAGCATTCGTGGAACTCCAAGAACAGCAACAGTGGCAGCAGTAACAACGTAGTGGCCTTAACACCTCTAGCCAGAACTAACAACCAAGTTTGCATTGGTGTGTAGAGGGAGCTCACCGGAGAGGCGAATGGCCGATTGTCGATCTGTCTTCACCAGGCCATTCTGCACAATGCAGCTGATGTCTCCAGTGTCTTCTCCTTCTGTGACAGTGACGTGACTCACAACACTGTACAGGTTCTCCCTTTCCTGAGTCATGTTGGTCACAGACTCCATTGCCTGGTTCTGCCAATTCTTTCCCACCCACTGGAGTTCAGGTTTGGGGAACCAGCCTGTAGATCGACAGACCAAACCGATCCCCTGGCCCTGGGGGCCCAGCACGTCAATGAACACCGGAGCCACAGCTGCAGGGAAAGACAGAGAATGTGTGTGTCAGGGAATTGGGTCTTGTGTAGCACCAGGTTATTCACCTGTTACCACTAGGTATAGGAGGCTGTGACTGGAAAGCTCAATTCTTTGTGTGCAGCCTCTCTGGGATCCCTCATACTGACTATTGGGGAAATTAAATAAAACCAGCTTGTGTTTCCATAGAGCATGGTGCCCTGTAGGCTCAGTGAGGAACATGCTGGCCTAAACTGCTCACGGAAATTGCTTCATCCGCTGTTGAAATGAAGTCACTTCTGAGGTAGTGCCCAGCAGCTGCCAAGATCACTTCAGTAAGAGCAGGAAGTGAGAGATGGTGACCCAGCTACATCTCTGCTACCACTTGTCCTGTGCCACCCTCCTTTTGGTTTGGAAATATTTCTCACATTGGTAACAGTGCCCAGGGCCATGCCACCCTCATGCTTAGATTTCTACTTGTGCAGAACATAACCATCCTGTCCTTGTTCAAATCTCTCCTTAAAGCACCTGTGTCCTGCAGGCCATTTGGACAAAGAACTCTGTCAAGACTGTTCCCCACACTAGCACTCTGAGTGCAGAAATTGGTGGAACCAGGAGAGATCCTAACATAACTTGCCTCTAGAGACTTCTGTTTGAAAAACTCTCCCAAAGTCACAAATTACATGACCTTGGGAGATAGGCTGCCTCACCAAATAACAAAAATCCTTTTCTTTTTGAACCCAGGAAGAAAGCAGTTGGGAACTTCTTCCAGAGGGGAACCACAAACACTTTTGCCACAAAAGAGCTTGGGGAAAAAAAAAGAAACCAAAATATAATCTCTGATCGCTGACCTCTTAGTCTTAGGTACACATGCACAGACCTCCTGTCACCTTCCAGGACACAAGAATCAGATCATCGCCTTAAAAAATGTGATTTTATTAACAAAACATTAAGATATACTTAATAAAGCATACTTGGTTGCTAGGTGTTATAAAGCAACTGAAAAAAGATCAGATTAAACACAGAGAATGGGATCCCTGGGATTCATCTTTAAAGTTACAATGTGGGGGGGGGGCACATGGACTTAGCACAGAGGAGCATAAATAAGCAACATCATAGAAAATATGTTGATCATGTCTAAATAAACATTCCTTATCTACTCACGTATCCATACTTCAAGGTCCAGTCCCTTTCTATGCCCAGACATTTCTTTTTTAGGCATGGTATTCCTAATTCAAATCTTCATATTTTCTTCCCATTCATTCTCCTGGCTCTCTGCCAACATTTTCTAGCTATCTGGGTTTAACCTTTTAATTATTGAATGCTAGGATGTTTAGAAAAGGACAGAACTCCCATACATCACAAAACCCAAAGATGGGAGGTGATTGTTGTTTTTTTAAATGTTACATTATTTTGAATTATTCAGTCAGAGCGGTTTAGTATGTGCATAACAAAATTCATTGCTTTTAGGAAATGAAAACACTAATTTATTTTGTGTGGACTCCAACAATAGACATGTTTATGAAATTTCACGATGTTTATATTAAACACCTCACCAGAGCTGAATAAAGGAGAATAATCACTTCTCTAGATCTGCTGGCAATGCTTCTCCTAATGTACCCTAATATGCCATTAGTACTTCTTGGCTACAATGGCATCCTGTTGACTCATATCCAGTTTCACATCCACCCAGGTCCTTTTCTGCAGGATTGTTACTTAGCCAGTCGGTCCCCAGCCTGTAACTATGCTTGGGATTCTTCCGTCCCAAGTGCAGGACTCTGCACTTGTCCTTGTTGAATCTCATCAGATTTCTTTTGGCCCAATCCTCTAATCTGTCTAGGTCACTTAGTCTAGACCCAATCCCTGCCCTCCAGCGTATCTATCTCTCCCCTTAGCTTTGTCAGCAATAAACCTGTCTGAGCATGTTCATCGCCTAACCAACCCTGTAATCTTGCTTATGAATAACACCTAAGTCTGCTGAATTAACAAGCAGCTGTGAGAGCATTCGTGGAACTCCAAGAACAGCAACAGTGGCAGCAGTAACAACGTAGTGGCCTTAACACCTCTAGCCAGAACTAACAACCAAGTTTGCATTGGTGTGTAGAGGGAGCTCACCGGAGAGGCGAATGGCCGATTGTCGATCTGTCTTCACCAGGCCATTCTGCACAATGCAGCTGATGTCTCCAGTGTCTTCTCCTTCTGTGACAGTGACGTGACTCACAACACTGTACAGGTTCTCCCTTTCCTGAGTCATGTTGGTCACAGACTCCATTGCCTGGTTCTGCCAATTCTTTCCCACCCACTGGAGTTCAGGTTTGGGGAACCAGCCTGTAGATCGACAGACCAAACCGATCCCCTGGCCCTGGGGGCCCAGCACGTCAATGAACACCGGAGCCACAGCTGCAGGGAAAGACAGAGAATGTGTGTGTCAGGGAATTGGGTCTTGTGTAGCACCAGGTTATTCACCTGTTACCACTAGGTATAGGAGGCTGTGACTGGAAAGCTCAATTCTTTGTGTGCAGCCTCTCTGGGATCCCTCATACTGACTATTGGGGAAATTAAATAAAACCAGCTTGTGTTTCCATAGAGCATGGTGCCCTGTAGGCTCAGTGAGGAACATGCTGGCCTAAACTGCTCACGGAAATTGCTTCATCCGCTGTTGAAATGAAGTCACTTCTGAGGTAGTGCCCAGCAGCTGCCAAGATCACTTCAGTAAGAGCAGGAAGTGAGAGATGGTGACCCAGCTACATCTCTGCTACCACTTGTCCTGTGCCACCCTCCTTTTGGTTTGGAAATATTTCTCACATTGGTAACAGTGCCCAGGGCCATGCCACCCTCATGCTTAGATTTCTACTTGTGCAGAACATAACCATCCTGTCCTTGTTCAAATCTCTCCTTAAAGCACCTGTGTCCTGCAGGCCATTTGGACAAAGAACTCTGTCAAGACTGTTCCCCACACTAGCACTCTGAGTGCAGAAATTGGTGGAACCAGGAGAGATCCTAACATAACTTGCCTCTAGAGACTTCTGTTTGAAAAACTCTCCCAAAGTCACAAATTACATGACCTTGGGAGATAGGCTGCCTCACCAAATAACAAAAATCCTTTTCTTTTTGAACCCAGGAAGAAAGCAGTTGGGAACTTCTTCCAGAGGGGAACCACAAACACTTTTGCCACAAAAGAGCTTGGGGAAAAAAAAAGAAACCAAAATATAATCTCTGATCGCTGACCTCTTAGTCTTAGGTACACATGCACAGACCTCCTGTCACCTTCCAGGACACAAGAATCAGATCATCGCCTTAAAAAATGTGATTTTATTAACAAAACATTAAGATATACTTAATAAAGCATACTTGGTTGCTAGGTGTTATAAAGCAACTGAAAAAAGATCAGATTAAACACAGAGAATGGGATCCCTGGGATTCATCTTTAAAGTTACAATGTGGGGGGGGGGCACATGGACTTAGCACAGAGGAGCATAAATAAGCAACATCATAGAAAATATGTTGATCATGTCTAAATAAACATTCCTTATCTACTCACGTATCCATACTTCAAGGTCCAGTCCCTTTCTATGCCCAGACATTTCTTTTTTAGGCATGGTATTCCTAATTCAAATCTTCATATTTTCTTCCCATTCATTCTCCTGGCTCTCTGCCAACATTTTCTAGCTATCTGGGTTTAACCTTTTAATTATTGAATGCTAGGATGTTTAGAAAAGGACAGAACTCCCATACATCACAAAACCCAAAGATGGGAGGTGATTTAGAATCATAGAAACATAGGGTAAAGAGCAGGAAGCTCCATTGACGGAGGCATGTAGATTTGTTGTTTTGGCAAAGTCAAATGAAGCTGCGATTTAAATGATCGCGGCTTCATTTAAATTTACATGGCTGTCGCGCTGAGCCGACAAACAGCTGATTAGCTGTTTGTCGGCTCAGCGCGGCAGCCATGTAAATGTAAATGAAGCCGCGATCATTTAAATCGCAGCTTCATTTGACTTTGCCTATGTGTCTAATCTACATGCCTCTGACGACAGAGGCATGTAGTCTAGACACAGCCATAGAGCTGGAAGAGACCTCAGGAGGTCATCAAGTCAAGCCCCCAGCCCAAGGCAGGACCAATCCCAACGAAATCAACCCAGCCAGGGCTTTGTCAAACCAAGATTTAAATCACTGCCAGGGCTCTACATTATCACTGGAGGGCTGCTCAGCTGGAGGTTGGTTTCTGAACTGCAGTCTCTGGGCATGTGTTACTACCACTGCCCTGTGAAGCACTGAACATATGGGCAATACCAAGGGAATAACAGTACAATATACAAGGCCATGGATGCTATAGGGAAGTTTCTGGGAAGCCAAATGTCCCTTAGCTGGGATTTGGACAAACAGCACCAAATAACACCACCATGAGGATTGTAGCTCTATTTCTCATTGAAATGAGGCTGTTAAATGCAGCACTGACTTTGTTAGCTTCATAGTAAGTCAGCACTAAGGGCAAAGGAATAGTCTTGGACATCAGGACTCTATCGCTCTGCTGGGCTTCATACTGGAGCACTCAGAAGGGGACAGGAGTGTGTGTCTGGGTCCAGCTGCCTAAACACACACTCCTGTGATTGTACCCCGGGTTTGATGTTAGAAGAGAAAAAGAGCTTGAAGCACTGGGATCCAGTTTGAGATCTGAGGCCCGAATCGGAGGCTGTGAACCAACATGTTTAAGCAGATACTCCCACGTTCATTGTTATATGAAGTTTGAAAAACTGCCATCATCCTTGCAAAATCACAGGCATTCCCAAGAAATCCTGGGTAGTGCACACTTATATAATTCATAGAATAATTGGAAGGGACCTTGCCCCCAGGGCAGAACCTAGCACCATCTAAAGTAGGGGTGGGCAATAACATGTTGGTGGTTCACCAAAGTTAGCCCCTAGCAGGCTGTTGCCACTATATTTACCTGCATCACCACAGGTACCAGTGATTGCATCTTCTGTAGGCCACAGATTGCCATTCCCAGTGAATGGGAGCAGTGGGAAGTGGTGCAGCTCAGAACACTGATTCCTACAGTTCCCATTGGCCAAGAATGGCAATTTGGGGCCAATAGGAGCTGCATTCACACATACCTGTGGTCATGCAGGTAAATATAGTGGTGGGGCCAGTCAGGAGTTAATCCTGGTAGACCGGATTCAGCCTGTGGGCTGGTATTTGCCTAACTCTGTCAGATGTTTGTCTAACCTGCTCTTAAAGGTCTCTAATGATAGAGATTCTACAACGGTGTTTCTTAAACTTTTTAAGAGTGAGGAACACAAAACAATATATTTTTTTAAATGAGGAACACCAAGGATTTTTTGTTGCACAAAAGAAAAAGAGTTGCTTTTCCCTTTAAGGGCGGCCATTTTGAACTGTTCTCTGTGGCACACCTCCAACTGCCTGGCGGCACACTGGTGTGACACTTATTTTGAATTCTGTTGTTATCTGCGGCACACCTCCGACTGCCTCCTGGCATACTGGTGTGCCACAGAACACAGTTTAAGAAGCACTGTTCTACAACATCCCTTGGCAATTTATTTCAGTGTTTAACCACCCTGATGGTTAGGAAGCTTTTCCTAATGTCCAACCTAAACCTCCCTTGCTGTAGTTTAAGCCCATTGCTTCTTGTTGAGAACTTTCAGGAGAATAATTTTATTTCCCTGTTCCTTGTAACAACCTTTTAAGGAACTTAAAAACTGTTATCATGTCCCCTCTCAATCTTCTCTTTTCTAGACTAAACAAACTCAGATCTTTCAATCTTCCCTCATAGGCCATGCTTTCTCTATCTTTAATCATTTGTATTACTCTTTTCTGGACTGTTTCCAAGTTGATCACATTATTTCTAAAATGTGGTGCCCAGAACTGAACATAATACTCCAGCTGATGCCTAATCAGCACTGAGTTAAGCAAAAGAATGAGGTTTTTTTGGGTCTTGCTTACAACACTCTTGTTAATACAACCCAGAATAATGTTTGCTTTTTTTCAATAGTTTTACACTCTTGACTTATGTTTACTTATATTTAGCTTGTGGTCCACTATGACTCCTTGGTCCTTTACCACAATGCTCCTTTTTAGGTAGTCATTTCCTGTTTCGCATATGTGAACATTCCAGAAGGTTAATGCAGATACACCCCAATCTAGTACAAGTTCAGATGGCTAGACAGAACAATAAATAGGAGTGCAGTGTCTGAAATTTCAGAAACAGGATCAGTAGCCGATGACATGTAAGAGAGCATGGTGAGCTGTGTATCCCATGTGTATGTTTCAGTCTATAGCTGCTGGGTATTTCACTTTTACCCTTTGTGAGGCCAGGAGAACAGCAGAGATTCCAGCTGTTAACTGAACCATTCCTTGTCACTGGCCACTCATGTGAGTACCTGTAACTGTGGATCGAGGGTACTAGGACTCTGCCTTGAGGGTAATATCCTTGGCCATGTGTCTTTGTCATTGAACAGAGTCCATGATCTTTCTTTGTGAATAACACTTAGGTCTGCTGAATTAACCCACTGCCCTGTTTGCTAATACTCATAACATAGGAGCTCCAAGAATACAAAGGCTGGAACAGCGCCAGCAACCAGGCCTTGTTACTCAGGTAACAACATTCCTTCCTCCTCCTCCCCTTAGTGCCATGTCTCACCTGCCACCCGTAGATCAGTGGTAGATTCCAGGCTCCGCTCTGGGTTCCTCACTAAGCACCAGTATTGCCCATCATCAGACATTTGGATTCGTTTCAACTTCAGGGAGACGTTCCCACTGCTGAACTCCTGTGGGAACATCTCCGTCCGGTTTTGGTAATCCTTCCCTGGCAAGTCCTGGGTGCCGTCACTCATGTATTCATGAACCAAGCTAAATTCTCGTTCAATTCTCCTCCACTGCACATCCATCTTCGGCAGCTGTGCTGGGGGTGAGAGCTGGCAGGGTAACACCACATCCTGGCCAACTACCCCTACTATGGGGTGTGAAAAGTCATACAGGGAGACCTCCTCTGCAATACAGAACCCCAGGAGTAGATTGGAGTGACAGATAAAGTCCCCTCAGTTGTACATTGCTCATAGCAGAAGGTTCCTGAGACAGATCCATGTGTAGCTCAATTCAGTTACCCTCAATGTAGACACAGGGCAGGTAAAAGCAGGTAGTCCTCCAACGCTAACCTGCAATGCCCAGAAATCCCTCCAAAGGTGCCTCTCTTGGAACCTACTTACGCTATGTTGGCAAGAGTGGCCCTGTTGAAAGCCACCTTCCATGTAACCTCATTATCGGCGTTCCTGAGACAGATCCATGTGTAGCTCAATTCAGTTACCCTCAATGTAGACACAGGGCAGGTAAAAGCAGGTAGTCCTCCAACGCTAACCTGCAATGCCCAGAAATCCCTCCAAAGGTGCCTCTCTTGGAACCTACTTACGCTATGTTGGCAAGAGTGGCCCTGTTGAAAGCCACCTTCCATGTAACCTCATTATCGGCATGTCTACACAGCAAATTTATTTCAGAATAACAGTAGTAATTCTGGAATAACTATGTGAGTGTCTACTCAGCCATAGCATTATTTCAAAATAATTTTGAAATAATGGGAGGCTTATTCTGACTTCTGTAAACCTCATTCTAGGAAGAATAACTCCTATTTCGAAATAGCTATTTTGAAATAAGGCGTGTGTAGATGCTCCACTTTTGCTATTTCGAAATAGCCCCTCACCAGGCCCATTCTAAGTTATTCCTCTTGAGGCTCTAAATCAAGATCTATACTATGGAAAGTCTGCCTCGGACTAATTTTGAGGCTTCCCTGCAGTGTAAATGTGCTATTTCAAAATAAGCTATTTTGGAATAACTCTTCCAGAATAGCTTATTGCAAAATAACTGTGCAGTGCAGACGTAGCCTTAGCGTTTAGGTAGCATAAACATGGTTATCTAGCTAAACATGGTTTTCTAAAGGTCATTCTAGACTTTGGATCATCTTGATCTACATCAGAAATGAACTAGGTCTAGTAAGGACCTCCTAAATCATACATTGAGGCTACGTCTACACTGGCACCCTTTTCCGGAAATGCTTAAAACGGAACAGTTTTTCCGTTATAAGTATTTCCGGAAAAGCGCGTCTACATTAGCAGGATGCTTTTCCAGAAAAGCACTTTTTCTGGAAAAGCGTCCATGCCAATGTAGACGTGCTTTTCTGCAAAAAAGCCCCGATCATCATTTTTGCGATCGGGGCTTTTTTGCGGAAAAGATTACTTGTGCTATCTACACTGGCCCTTTTCCGGAACAGTTTTTCCTCCCTGAAGTATAGATGTGATATTTTGAAATAAGCCATTTTAGAATAACTATTCCAGAATAGCTTATTTCAAAATAACTGTGCAGTGTAGACGTAGCCTATAGCTGCTGAGAGGCCACCAGGTCTTCTGCCTGGCCTGTTGTTATTGGGTCTTTGATGGATCTTTCGGTTGATGAATGTTCTTTCCATGGATTCAATCCCCCGGACAGAATTTGGCTCAGATTGGGAGTCAATGATTTTGGGATTAGTGTCTGGAGGAAATTAAGCATACAAAAATGATTTATATCTCTAACTTGTTTGTTTCCATGATCTTCAGTTAAACCCTCAGGCTGCGTCTAGACTGGCATGATTTTGCACAAATACTTTTAACAGAAAAGTTTTTCCATTAAAAGTATTTTCGCAAGAGCACGTCTACACTGTCACAGATGCTTTTGCGCAAAAGCATCCTTGCCGGTGTAGATGCTCTCTTGTGCAAGAAAGCTCTGATGGCCATTTTAGCCATTGGGCTTTCTTGCACAAGAAATTAACTTGCCTGTCTACACTGGCTCTCTTGCGCAAGAAGACTTGCACAAGAGGGCTTATCCCTGAGTGGGAGCATCATAGTATTTGCGCAAGAAGCACTGATTTTGTACTTTACAAAGTCAGTGTTCTTGCGCAAATACTTGCGACCAGTGTAGACAGGCGGCAAGATTTTGCGCAAAATCTTGCCAGTCTAGATGCAGCCTCAGTCATGTAGAACAATTACTACCCAGCTGCAGGATCAGACACTCTCTGATGTTACAGGTGAGGAGGGTGAGATTTTTAAAGCCACCATAATACAGCTCCTAAAGGCGTAACTCTCTGAGAATATCAGCTTTCTTTTTTGCAAAGTCAGTTCTTAGCTCTACTTGTAGAGAAACACTTAAAAATGTGATTAGAATGTGACTGAAATTTAAAAAAATAAAATAAAAAAAACCAACCCAAAACCCCAAACAAACACACATACACAAAAGCCCCAAAGGAAACTGGAAGACCCCAAAAGGTGATTTGATTTTTAAAAATCTATTTTTCAAGCCAGTCTCCTTATTTCTGAGACCTGACTCAAGGAATCTGAAAGTTTGGAGTTGGCATCTCTGCAGTTTTTATTCATCCTAATAAGAACATAAGAACGGCCATACTGGGTCAGATCAAAGGTCCATCCAGCCCAGTATCCTGTCTGCCAACAGTGGCCAATACCAGGTGCCCCAGAGAGAATGAACAGAACAGGGAATTGTCACTTGATCCATTACCTGTCATCCATTCACAGCTTCTGACAAACAAAGGTTAGGGACACCATACCTAACTACCCTAGCTAGTAGTCATTGATGGACCTATCCTCCATAAATTTATCTAGCTCTTTTGTGAAATCTATTATAGTTTTGGCCTTCACAACTTTCAGCAAAGAGTTTTAAAGATTAATTGTGTGTTTTGTTAAGAAGTAATTCCTTTTGTTTGATTTAAACCTGCTATCTACTAATTTCATTTGGTGACCCCCTAGTTGTCATGTTATGGGAAGGAGTAAATAATTCTTTTTTCTTCATTTTCTTCATACCAATCATGATTTTATAGACGTCTCTCATATCTCCCTGTAGTCATCTGTTTTCCAAGCTTATTAATCTCATCATCTGTCAGCCATTCCATAACTCTAATCATTTTTGTTGCCCTTTTTAAAACTATTTTCAATGTAAGATATCTTTTTTGAATGAGACGGCCACATCTGTACACAGTATTCAAGGGCGTACCAAGGTTTTAAATAAAGGCAATAAATTATTCTGTCTTAATCTTCTACCCCTTCTTTAGTGATTCCTAAATTCTGTTTGCTTTTTAGACTGCACCTGCAGATTAAGTGGATGTTTTCGGAGAATTATCCACAATGACTCCAAGATCTTTCTGTTGAGTGGTATCAGATAATTTAGTCTTGATCATTTTGTATGCTTAGTTGAGATTATGTTTTCCAATATTCATTACTTGGCATTTATCAACATTCAAATGTATCTGTCATTCTGTTGCCCAATCACCTAGTTTTAAGAGATTCTTTTGAGTCTCTTTGCAGTCTGCTTTGAATTTAAAATGGGAGCTTCCCTCTCTCTCCCCTTGCCCCCCACCCACACACATACCATCCCTCAGGACAGTGTGAAGAGCTCAGCCTTGCGGGCTATGGGAATTCAGGGCCCAGTGGGGCAGGTCTATCAGCACAGGCCCTTTGGGCAGGGCTGGAAGGGGTCAGTGCTGGGGGCTCTGGGAACCTTTCTCAGGGCAGCAGGGATTTTGAACCTGCCACCCACAGGTAGGACATGCTCCAATCACCCTAACACCATCCCCTCCCCACAGCCTTGTTTTACTCTGTAAGACTGAGGAGGCCCAGAGGAATGTAATTGATCCTCAGTTACCCCCTTCCCACCCAGCAGGGGGCAGTGCACATAGGGACAGGCAGGGACATAATGGAGATTCAAACGTTACCAGCGAGAGCACATGGCACCAGGACAGGTAGGACATGCTCCAATCACCCTAACACCATCCCCTCCCCACAGCCTTGTTTTACTCTGTAAGACTGAGGAGGCCCAGAGGAATGTAATTGATCCTCAGTTACCCCCTTCCCACCCAGCAGGGGGCAGTGCACATAGGGACAGGCAGGGACATAATGGAGATTCAAACGTTACCAGCGAGAGCACATGGCACCAGGAGGAGGATCCCCAGGCTGCACACACAGAGCTTCCATCGCGTCGCCATGGGAACACCCCGTGCAGGGACCTGTGAGGAGAGAGCAGGGATGGTTAGCACCCCCCAGCCTGTGTGAGGGGCTGGCAGTGCAGGGTGGAATATAACAGGTTAGCGGAGACACTAATGAGAGGGTCAAATCAGGGCAAATTGCTTAAATAAGGGCTACTTACAGCCCAAGCCTGGGGGTCCTCCACTATGAGGTACCAAACCAATCACCAAGAGCACTTCTGTTTGCCACATTGGCCAGCAAGAAACCACCCATTAGACACTCCAGTTCTCCTGGGCCACAACCAGTACCCCTCCTTGCCCAGATGACAGGTTATGAAAACCCATCTCACCAAATCCAAACAGCTTCTCCTGATCCCAAAGGACCAGATATATACCCAGCTCAGTTTACACCTCAGCTCTTACCCAAAAGAGCAAGCTGTGCCAGTCCTTTAGGATCTAAAATCTAAGAGTACGTCTACACAACAATATTATTGCAAAATAACTAGTGTTATTTAGAAATAATGTCAAAATACTGTCAAGCTAAAGGACTTCTTATTGACTCCTGTAACCCTCATTGTATAAGGAGTAAGGGAAGTCAGGGGAAGAGTGCTCTATTTCGAAATAAGTGTAGGTAGATGCTCTCAATTTTGAAATAAGCTATTTCAAAAAAAGCTATGCAATTGCCATAGATTAATTAGCATAGCTTTTTAAAAATTAAGACCTGCTGTGTAGACGCACCCTCAAGGTTTGTTAATAAAGGAAAGAAAGAAAAGATTGAGAGTAAACTGGTTAAAGAACTCAAATTACATACACCGATGCAAAGTCCTTGGTGCAGTTTTGTAGCAGAGATGGAATAAACCTGCTGTCTCTGAAATACATACTTTGTTAGGATGGGTCATCAGTCCTTCTGAGCTTAGTTCATAGCAAAGATGCTCCTGGAGTGATGAGCTAGAATGAAAATAGGGATGAATGATGAAGATGGAGTAACCTCTAGGCCCCTCTTTATACCTTGCCCATGTAGAAGGACTTCCATTGTTCTCTTTGAGTGAAAACACCTTCCAAAATTGAGTTTGTCACATGAGCAAGTGAAGGAGCTGGGAGCACAGGTGGTGTTCTCTTTTATCCTTATGGTCAATGGTAGGGGCCCAGGCAGAGACAGATGCATCCTGGAGGTGAATCCTGGCTTTGAAGATACTGTCAACAGGAGGGCTTTGGCTCCCTTGACCATGGCATGTTGTTCCAGGAAGAAGGATGGCTAAGTAAAGATGGGGTCCACTATTGACACAACAGAATCGAGGAAGAGGAGGAATGTATCTGGATACAGACTGGCTAACCTAGTGAGGAGGGCTTTAAATTAGGCTCAGTGGGGGCAAGTGACCAAAACATAGAGGTAAGTCAAAAACATGGAGACCTGGGAAAATTTGAGGGGAATGTAGCTTCTTATAGGAGGCATAAAGAAGAGGCAAGGCAGAACAGGGGAGAGGAGTCAAATCAATATCTTCAATTCCTATACTACTGAGAGAAGTATGGGGAATAAACAGGAAGAACTCAAAATGCTAGTAAATAAACACAACTATGAGATAGTTGGTATCACAGAGACTTGGTGAAAAGTAGGTATGACAGAAATATTGGTATAGAAGGGCGCAGCTTACTTAGGAAGGACAGGCAGGGAAAACGGGGAGGAGGTACACTTGGAGTGAGGTTGACAGAAATATTGGTATAGAAGGGCACAGCTTACTTAGGAAGGACAGGCAGGGAAAACAGGGAGGAGATACACTTGGAGTGAGGTTGAGAGACATAGGAGACAGATTTGTTGAAACTATCTGGGTAAGAATAAAAGGGGAGGAAAAACAAGATGTTGGTTGGTCCTGCATTTGTAGGGGGCTGGACTCCATGACTCCTGAGATCTCTTCTGGCTCTAGGATTCTATAATTCTATGATTCCCTGAAGAGGGGAATGGCCATGTTTCAAGGGTGAAATTAGTGAACTACTATGATGGATGGGAGAAGTGCAGTCCTTTTCTAAACATCCTAGTATTCAGTAACTAAAGAGTTAATCCCAGGTTGCTAGGAAGTGTAGGCAAGGAGTCAGGAGAACTAATGGGAAAAAAGTGTTGAGATTTTAATTGAAAGGGAATCTGTTGTTGTTTGGTTAAACTCCTCTGTGCTGAGTCCTTGATACCTCTCACCCATCCCTTTATGCAATGTAACTAACCTGAACCTCAAAGAAGCAATTCTCTGTGGTTAAATCTGTTCTTTTCTCAGTTGCTTTTAAAAACCTAGCAACCAAGGGGGGGGGGGGTTGTTTGTTTTGTTAGTATCACCTCTTTTAAGGCTATGATCTGATTCTTGTGTCCTGGAAGGTAATAGGATGTCTGTGTATCATAGAACCATAGAACACTAGGAATGGAAGGGACCTTGAGAAGTCATCAAGTCCAGTCCCCTGCCCTCATGGCAGGACCAAGCACTGTCTAGATCATCCCCAATAAATGTCTATCCAACCTGCTCTTAAATATCTGCAGTAATGCAGATTCCACAACCTCCCTTTGCAATTTATTAGCCACCCCAACAGGAAGTTTTTTCAAATGTCCAACCTAAACCTCCCTAGCTTCAGTTTAAGCCCAATGCTTCTTGTCCTATCATCAGAAGCCAACGAGAACAATTTCTCTCCCTCCTTCTTGTAATATATTTTTAGATACTTGAAAACTGCTATCATGTCCCTGCTCAGTCTTCACTTTTCCAAATTAAACAAACTCAGTTCTTTCAGTGTCTCCTTATAACTCATGTTTTCTAGACCTTTCATCATTTCTGTTGCTCCTCTCTGGACCCTCTCCAGTTTCATCACATATTTCTTGAAATGTGATGCCCAGACCTGGACACAATACTCAATACTGATTAGGCCACAACTGAGGCCTAATCTGTGAGGAGCAGAGCGGAAGAATGACTTCTCCTGTCTTGCTCAAAACACTCCTTTAATGCATCCCAGAATCATGTTTACTTTTTTGGCAACAGTGTCACACTGTTGACTCATATTTAGCTTGTGGTTCACTATGACCCCATATCTCTTTCTGCAGGACTCCTTCCTAGACAGTCGCTTCCCATTCTGTATGTGTGAAACAGATTGTTCCATCCTAAGTGGAGCACTTTGCATTTGTCCTTATTGAACATCATCCTGTTTACCTCTGGCCATTTCTCCAGTTTGTCCAGATCATTTTGAATTATGACCCTATCCTCCAGAGCACTTGTAACCCCTCCCCGCTTGGCTTCAGCTGCGAACTTCATAAGTGAACTCTCTATGCCAATATCTAAATCATTGACAAAAATATTGAACAGAGCCTAAGACCGAGAGGTCAGCTTTTGCAGATGACAATTTGTTTTCTTTAAAAAAAAAAATCTTATGGTAAAAGAGCTTGAGGTAACTCTCTGGAAGAAATTCCCAAGTGATTTGGGGTTCAAGAAGCAAGTTTCTTTGCTTGTTTCACTTTGGTTGTGGCAAAAGGTCAGGTAATCTGTGACTTGGGGGAGTTTTTAAGCAGAAGCCTGGAGAGGCAAAGTTTTTTAGGGTCTCTTGCAGGCCCCCCTCTTCTGCATTCAAAGTGCCAGAGTGGGGAACAGCTTTGACAACTTCAAACTGCAATATCCTGTGGGGTGAGGAAAAACTGCTTAGTCTAGTTGTTGCCCAATCTAATAGGGTTGAGACCATGTATTAGCTATTAAGCTCATGCAAGGCCTAGGTTGCAAGGGGAAGAAATGTGTCTCCCCTAGTCCCAAAACCTTGCCCCAGGCCCAGGAGGGCACTACCATCGCCATGATGGCATGGCTCCCTCTCTGTTGCCAACCCCTACTTTGCTGCAGTGGGAGTCTGACCCCACACTCTGCTGCGGATGGAGAGTCCTCGCCTCAGCCTCGGCCCCAGTCTTGCCTCAGCTAAGGTGGCTCTGACCAGACTCTGCTACAGTGAGCACAGCCTTGCCCCGGCCCCGCCCCTGGAGCTGCCATGTCGGCAGGGGGGACCTTTCCCACCTGACCCATTTGCCGCTGTGAGGAGGGAGATCTGGGGGGTCCTCTCTCCTTGCAGTAATCCCAGAACATCCTCCTTAAGCCCAAACCCTTCCTGAACTCAGCATCACCCCGAAGCCTGTAGCCCCAAAGCCCTCACACACCAACCCTCAGCCCCCCCCTCCTGGGCTCATCCCAGAGCCTGCATGCCCAGCTGATGCCCTCACAGGCTGCATTGCAACCCTCTGCCACAGGTCTGAGCTTCTCCCACACTGCAAACCCTTTTGGCCTCACCCCTGCCACATGAATTTTGTTATGTGCACCGCTAGTAGAGTGATGCATCTCATATCACCTCCATATTGTCAAAGCGTCCCTGTTCTGTGTCTGTGCAGTGCCCAGCAGACTGGGCCCCAGGCTGCCACCACAGCAGCAACACTGGAGTGACCACTGGAGCTGACAGGCTGCTGACCCCCGCCCTCCTTTTCCACACCACAAGCAAAATCGTGTTCATTACAGTGACCTCACACCAGGCCAGTGATGTGTGATTTGCATTGAGAGAGATG